GGAAAATGTTCTTCGAGGAACGCCGATGAAGGTCCTATATAAGCAGAATGGCTGATAACTGCAAAAACCGGGAAACATTCATACCTGCATCTTTTTCACCTCACTTCTACTAAAATGGTGATATGTGTCTTTCTTAGGGGATAATATATGTAAATAAGCATGAAATGTATTACCTAAACAGCATTGCAAAGTTAGAGACGACTGACAATTAGCTAGAAATGATAAAAACAGGATAAACAAACTTATAGGTCAAGATGGCGACATGAGGTAGAAATAATGTGCCTTAAATGTGCTATATTATTTTCAGGACAAGAAACGTGTCGATTGGTAGCCAAGCGGAGGGGTAGAGATGAAATTCCACTTGAACCACGTCCAGCGGGTTTGTCTCACAACAGATTTATAATGTTATCCAATAAAGTTCAAATACATATCCAGGGACCTCAAAAGGCGAGAGACGCATTCGTTGGGAGAAGGAAGAAATTAAAAGGTAAGCTGGTGGGAATTTAAACAAGCAAGCTGTTGGAAAGAGAGTAAACTGAAAGGAAGTTATGGATAAAGCTGGAGGAGCATGGCCAGCATTATAGATGAATAGCATTGGCAATAAAATGGTATGCGATGCGATAACGTTGAAAGCCACTTTTCACTTCTCATACCAAGTCAGAGCAAGAGTCAAGGGTTAACATCTGACATGAGAACAATTCGAATAAGCATAAGCAAAAATAAACTCTGAGTGCAACGTGAAAAAATGAAGAAAAAACGCAACACAAATTTCTAAAAAGGCATAATAAATTATTTTAATGTAGTGAAAAATCTTCAAGATATTCATGGTGTCAAGAAGAAATATTACTTCGAAAGAAGCTGTATTGTGAGACGAGTAGATGGGAAGGAAGATCTTTAACTGTGGCGGCGTTTATAAGATGAACGAACATGAAGCGAAAGGAAATCTCGAGGGAATTTATGCAGAAGATACTTACAAATACAACGATAAGTTTGCTCAATCACACATAAAAATAATGGAAAGTGTGATATGGAATGGAAGGAAGTTGATGGTACCTTGGGGATACATTAAGTACCGTTTGACCATTTTGTATGTATGCTATATAATATATATTTTGCTGATTTGCTCAGCAAATGTAAGATGTACCGGAAGCTTAAAGGTTATAAACAAATTCACAGTTTATATATATGAGTGCTGGAATAAGAAGTCGTAACACTTTCGCATGTGTCCCCAGCGCCTCATTTTTTCATAAGGCTTTTGATCTCGAATTTGCAGCACAGCAACAAATGATCAAGAGTTTTAACACATCCCCTCCTGGTCTATGAAAACTCATATCCCTCCATCATCACTCATCATTCAAATAGCTTTCTCTAATCTTAATTTCATATTTTATAATTGTTTGAAATTAAAATATAAAATAAGGATATATTGAAATTAAAATATAAAATAAGGTTTTAAATCGAGCAACAATTCCAATCTATGTGTGTAAATATATTAGAATCATAAAAACACGTTTCAGATAGAACATTTTAATCATGGTATGCTGTTACGCTAGATTTAATGAGCCACTAACGAGGTGATCCCAAATACCAACTATCAACATTGGTTTTATTAATCACACAAATTCTCAGGAGAGAACATCAATGAGAGGATAAATAAGTCAAATTTCCTTCTGAGGAAAGAAAACTTGAAACGATTGATAAACTTTTCTCATTCGTAAGATTACATAAAGTATTGGAAGCACTACAGGAAATGCCAAAATTTTATGGCACATATCCTTCAATCTGTATAACAAATTTCAAAGCTGTGTTTTCTTCAGAAGAAAACTAGCTTAAAAACTTGTTGTTTAATTCAGTGTGATGAACCATATCAAGAGCGAATAAGATGCTCCTGTTCAATCTACAATTGGTCAGTTGGTCAACTTTTGAAGACGAGATTTCTACTATCTTCATCTAAATTAAATACTGGAAATGCGAGAATTCTTTTTTTGTTCAAGAGAGAGCTAGGAGAGATTGGAAAAGGAAAGATTTTCTGTTAAATAAGATAAAGAACCAAAAAAAATTAATGCAGTAAGTTTTTTTTTTTGATTTTCAAAAGTATTGGTTGAAAATGTTAAGTAGCGTTTTAATGTTAATATGTAGATTTATGAAATTTAAACTTTGACTGGATAGGATGAAACCAGTGGTAAACATAGATGATGACTTGAAAAAAAATATCAAATTTGATACAAAATGGTTTAGTATTTTGGAATTAGGAATATGTGCACAGATGGATCCATTTGAGAGCCTTCAATTTTTTGCTATATGCTGAAGATAAAATAATGGTACAATGATTTTTCCTCGTACAACATTGCACGAATGAACGGTAACAATCAGTTTTCAGTTTCTGCCATCGTGTCTCCATTGGGGTGCTATTCCAATTTGTTGCAAGAATATGTGCGTAATATGTCTGTGTCAGATTCTCCACAAATGAATTCAACTAATGAATCCGATTAGTAGAGAGATGAAAGAATCTAAATTTCTGATTACAGCTCCCAACATTCTAACTAGCCTTACTCTTCATTCTCAATATCCTAAGCTCCAAATTAGTTCACATCAACTAGACCAAACGTTCTTCAATACCCCATTGCAAAGGAAGTAAAATTTGATTTGCTATACTAAGCTGCACAATTAATCATTATAACTTGCATTTCTGTATTTCTCAAATCATTCACTTTCCTATTAATTAATGTATTTCTGTCACAAATCGTTTTCATGTCTAAAAAAGAGAGAAAAAATTCTTCAAATAAAAAAAAGTTTCTTTTTTGAAACGTTCATATTATTGAGAATTTGGATCATTAAACACTTATGGTTAACATATCAACTGGTAAAAATAACAGGAAATCCCAAAGCACGATAAGAATTCATAAGAAATGTCAGAACCTGATCATGTGATAGAATAAAGCATGAAAGATCTGAAATTAACTGGAAGTAACAAACTTTTTCAAGAAGGAGGGGAAGTGATCATTGTATAGCACTGGCCAAACAGTTAATGGATTCGATATCCGAAATAACTTTAGTGGACCTCTCAAAGCTCTCGTACAGATGTGGAGCTGAGTTTGGGAAGATTGCTGGAAAAGTATACCCAAAATGGGTGATGGGATGAGCAAAGATAACAGGACTGCATGCGGTAGCACAAATGATCTGGACATATCAACAATGGACAAACGACGAGAAGCGCATTCAAGGAGCAATCTAATAGAGCTTTGGTCAGGATGCTCTCTTCCTTCCCTCCTCCTCGTCCTCTTCTTGCTGCCGTCCTCTGGCCCTGATTAAGGTACGATTGAGGAGCACACGGGTATGGAGAATGCCATAATGCTCCCTCCCTCTCCCTTTCCCTCCCACCATCCCAACTTCCGATCCACTCAGCCTCAGCCTATCTGGCCCCATGCAATCTTCTCACTATCACATCACCTTCCAAATCGAGAAACAGAGAAATACACATGCATAAACACCATTTTACCAAATGCGCTGCATACTGTCCTAGACTGTGCCATGCCATCCCTCTTTTCCCCTCTGACCCTTCAAGAAATGTATCCTTGTTAAGCGGTCCCATTTCATCTCCACTACCACTCATCAATTCAATATAAATTTCGAAACCTCCGCACTTGACTGGTACCTAAAGATTCATCCTTATCTATTCAAGTCAAAATTGTGGGGTCGTGAGAATGGCATATTCTGTGCAGATGCTTATCGATTCATTTCAGGTTTACTAGTGTGAGTGGAAGGAGAGGAAGGGCTCGGAGGTATTGTTGCCAGCAGTTGGATGATTTATTCTGATGGTGTTGGACGATTGTAAACAAACAAATAGGGGAAGCAAAGTGTAAACAAAAAAATTAGTAATTGGATAGGGCTAGAATACGCAGCAACTCCTTTACAGGTGGTAACTACTCAAATATGGGATAGGAATTCGGATAAAGGAAATGGATTAGCTGTACATGCTGGTGCAATCAGAACGATAATCCACGAAAAAAATTGATATGAGATGGCTCATCACCTGCCAGGGGATTTTGATGATGGTGGTCGAGCAGTTTGCTGACACTCTTGTAAATGTGTTCCATTTCATTGTTACCATTGCGGTGGACATGATGATATATGATGAACAAGAAAGGTGCTCATCAGTTCTTACAAATCGAACTTACACGACGGACCTTCCTTCCCATACCTCTGAAAACAGTTGTTACGAATTACTACCACATACTACTGCTACTATTATCAACTACTGTCATCACTTCTATGCTGAATATCGGAAGTACTAGGAGTCAACTGGAGGAGTAGAAAGCAATTTTGCAGGTGAAATAACTGTGAAAGTAAATAATGAAGAAATGTGGATGCAATGGAGTGCTGTCTCCAAGAAGTCTATGATGTATCTATCCATTCATTCATTCTAATTCTGAATTCCCAGTGCAGGCAAAACACACCGTGCACCTTGCTGGGCACCTCACTGGCTGCAATACGGCTGCTTCAACTACGGTGTGCTTCTTCTGAATTAAAGGCCTCATTAGAGGCCTCAGGGGCAACTTTAATGAGTCGTTGGCCAGCTGAAGTGTACAACCATCCCATCCATCACGTGCATACATATATACATACATACACACATATTTATGCACATGTGCTACGTCTCAAATCTTTTCCTACCAATGTTTTGATGTGGGAACTCTTCGGCTTCTTCCGACATCAGTAGATGAGTGTAGGAAGACGCGATAGACAGCATCACCCAATCAATACCTGCCCTTACATCAGCTCATTTTTATGGACACCTGCGGTAAATGAGCTAGCATTGGGAGGACCCTTTTCCAATATGCTTTCCATGCTTACATGTAGATCGCTGTTGCTGCTACTACTGCCACTGCTGTTGCACCTGCAGTTGCTAGTTTATTAAATAGTGCGTCTTAATAGTTGCATAACGTAGTGTAGCGTGCCATGCATACAGGTCATGCCTATTCCAACATCTTATTTTATACAGTACATTAAAATACTAACATATGTCCAATATTCGTATCCTATCCAGAAATACACACAACTTCTGCAAATAAGAAAGATTCCTTAAAAGTACCGAACAGCTAATTCAAATCCTCAGGAGGAACAGCACTGATGCAAACAGTTCTCGCAAACAGACTTCACCATCACAACAACAAGTAATATTGACTATTTGGCCACGCCTTTGCCAAAAAAAATAATCACGTGCGTACGGAAATTTTTAATTTGAACAAAGCAATAACATTCAATATCAAGTACTTTTAGTGAAACAAAATAATGTAATTTGCGCAGAAAAGTGATACTTTGAGATGTAGAAAAAAGAAGGGGAGGATGCCGATCGCATTTCTTGAATCATTTTCATACATGCAAATGCAAAATCATGAATTAAGATTCTGTTTACTCTTCGCTTTTCTTATGAAATAGAATTGATCCCTCAAAGGAATAAACCGTGAACTGAATAATGGAAATACTTGTAATATTTGAATTCTTCCTATCACTTCAACTCTCTTTAGAATTGAATTAAAAAAAGCACACTTTCTATCGTTCAATCTTCATTACTGCTTTGTAATTCCATACTTTTCCATCTTTCATTATTACATTACATGGTCCAAATATTTACTTTAAACAAAGTATGAAAAACGTCGCATAAAAATAAAAACAAGCAAAAGGCACTAACGACAGGTGAGTGGTGGCATACGGTAATCGCTAAAGGTAACTGGTTTCCAGTGGTCTGGGTGTGTCGCCATTAACATAGTACGGTGGTTATTTTAATGGTTCCATTTTATACTTCCAAATATTAAAGAATACAAAAAGTAATCCTATTTTTAAACTTTTAAATTGTCTGTTTAAATTATTACTAACAATAACTTTTACCATTATTTCGTTGCAATGAGCTAATTGTCCGTTAGCAGTCATAATCTCAACCCAGATATTCCAATAGCGAAAATGTGCAATTAAAATATCAAACAGCAATTTTCAGGTTGCTCAAATTAACTGGGAAAATGCTTCAAAGAATCAGAAAGAATATCGGCATTTATTCCTCCCTACTACTATAAGAAAATCTGGAAATATTAAAAAAATTATGGTGCGGAGGATTAAAGAAATTAGAAGCAAGGATACTTCTCGGATAACTACTGCTTCAATTACTATAAAATATGCAAACTCAATAATCCTAAGACATGATCCTGAAGAAGAAAAGCAATATCTATGCCTGAAGAATGGTTGCATGATTTACTACAAAGTGGAACAAATACTAATCCAGAACCATTTGAAGAAAGCTGCTGTTTGTTGAATTCGCTATTATCATTTCCATTTGCTGACCTTTCTCATTAAATATTCAAATGAATCTATTTCACAGTCCCTGGTGCTTCATCCTATGTGCCCAGGATGCCGCATTTCGAATAGGACATACTCCGACTGTCACTTCAAATAACCCATTGTACCTTTCTTTTCTCTTATTCCACAGTAACTAGAGAGACAATGTTGGACAAATGCTCGCCGCTCATCCTAATCTATCATGAATAAACCCAATGCTCTTCCTTCTCCTGACCCTTTCTTGTCCTTTCTTCTAACCTTTTCATATGCAAAACTAAGCTCAACCAAATTAGAAGGTTGAATTAATCTAGCCAAAAATTGCATCCATTAGAACACAAAAAATTTTTAAAGTCCATCCAGGAATTTTCTCTTGAAACATTTGAAATTTTTGACAATAAAGCAATCATTTCAAGAGTGAAACGTATTAATATCGCCTAATATTCAGTTTTGCCTAATATCCATAGGTTGCTCTAAATTGAAATCAAAACCTATACTGCAAGTGTAATTTGTTTACTAATGACAACATGATAATTATGCTTTCACTATTATTTTTAATTTCCATAGAAGAGCATGAAAAGTAAAAATCATGTCTACCTGCATATTTCATCCCAACTATGATCACCAAGGAAAAAGCACGACACCCAGTCAGAAAGAGTTTTTCAACTTGTTGCCATTTTTCCTGTCGAAGCCAATTCAACATTTTGTTACGAAGATTTTATGGTAATTCTTAAGTGATTCTACACTAGTTTTTGCTTTACCATCGATTAGACAAATCAATACCAGCAGTATTTAGATTTCAGGAAGACTCCTTCCTGCAGGAGTCAAATTATTTTGATTTGCTGATGTTAAATGAACCATAAAAAGTGGTCATAATGGTCTTCCTGTTTAAACATCTCTTGATAAACTAATGAGGCGAATTTAATCGAATTCATTTCAGTTAATTGATAGAATTCTAGAACGATTAGAATAAATTAATTAAATGTTTCGTAGAGTTCATCAATTATTAATTTAAAAAAAAAACAGACTTAAGAAACAATTGACATGGAACGTTCTGTTTTTGTCGCATGCTACATTTGAATTGAACGAGAGTTGAAAAATGAGTATGGCGCGCTATGCGCATTCATCTATCATTTACAATCTCAAATTACAGAAAATAATAAGCGTAAAAAAATGAATAAAATTAGATATTCTGTTTACGTATGTTCGATGGGGCATTCATCGCATTGAAACCGATACTTAATCGTAATACAACAAATGTCGCACGACTAGAATGATTAATAGCTCATTGTTGATCATCTTTTCTAACTCACTAAAACCGAGATGCTGTCAGTTTGCGCACCTTTTACCAAAACATTTATGATGCTAAAAATTTTGCACATCTTCTAACTTGGAGCAAAAAAAAATATTTCTAAGATTCAATAATACTTTTCCAAGGAGTCATATTATTAAAAAAAATTCACATTGTATTATTTGGAAATTTCCTATTTTTAATACTTTTCTGCGGAATTAACTGCTTTCGTAATTAATTAATATGAGCAAATAACTAACCATTATTCAAATAATCAACAGCGACAAAAATATCGATCATGATAGGAAGAAAAAGGATGAAATGCAAACAGGTGTGAAATTAAGAAAAACTTGCCAAGTATGAGTGGTACTGATTCACTGATAAACGTTAGATAACTTCTCAGCGAACTTACTATTGGATATCGGTTCTTTTAAACACATGTTTGATAATTACACTAATAATAATTACGGGCTTGTCCATTCATTCCACAAATTACAAAAATGTTGGGTGTGTTACCAATTGCCAATTTCATTTCCATGGGAATTATTTGTAGAACCAATTTAATAAGCGTCCATCCAGTCATGTTGATAGATGGAACTTAAAATCATCTAAGTTCGAACAGCACTATAAACCGAAATTGTGCCAAAGTGTCATCACTTTACAATATGTTACAATTTTGCTCCCATCGTTCTGTCGACGAGACAAAAACATAACCAATTAACCTTACATTTTTAATACGAGCACTATAAGTACCGAATAATAAACGGATTAGCTTTTATGAAATGAAATAATGAAGAAACAGTTCACGTCAAAAACCGTTCTTTATTCGTTGTCCCTTTCAATTTCGAAAAATTACCCCCTTGGTAGAAGCAAATAATAAGGTTTTCTAATGATAAAAGTAATTGATCGTGGTCGCTGTTACGAGCTCTTTCCCAAAGCCATCGTTGAATGTTATACATCCGCCTATGGCATGAAGCACACAATGCAGTCCGCCCTCGATGACACCCGCAACTGAAACATAAATATCGATGAACTTGTTGGCCATCCATGTAATTACCACCATTTATTGTAAAATTTTCACAACTGTTTGTTCTTTTCTTGTTTGTCATTTTTACTCTGTCTAGTCCAGTTCAGCTCTCCTGTTCAACCCGTCCAGCAGAAACACTGTCCGTACTGGTCAACACCGAACTTATCTCTATACATCACTTTTTCAAATTCAAAAAAAAATCAACTTAAATATTGGATCTTTATATTTATCTAGTCAAAAATTAGACTACGAACAATTTTTCTTCTTTCATTGAAAACGCCTTAAAGTGGTTGTATGTATTTCCCAATTTTATTTCATTACTTTTCAAAACAACTATTTAAATGAAAAAATTTTTTTCGTTATAAAGGCTGACGTATCAAATTTTAAAAATGCTGTTATTTATAATTATATAATAATTGAACTTTTCAGTTTGCACTGATGCAGCAATTTGCCTGTCATTGTTTTCTTGTCATTTTTCGATAAATCTGCTTACTTTGCACTATCTTCCTGTGTTTACGAGCACAGTAGGCATTAGTTTGGTCGGGATCATCTGAAAATTTGTCTTATATGTTTGGAATCTTCTCAATGTAAAGTACATTTTAATCAATTAAATCGCAGATTATGTCACAGATTGTATCGCAGATTATATCGCAGATTATGATCAGCTTGTTGAGCAAAAACGCTTTTAGTAATTTTTTTTTCACATGAAATCGGTTCTATCCCTACTGTTCTTTTATAACATTACACAACACTGATTATCAGCATTTTATGATTAAACCAATTCTGTAAAAAATAAATCGAAACGCAGACAAATAAGCAAGCAAACGTCATCAGAGTGTGAAATAACAAAAAACAGCAATTATGGATATTATAAAAAAAGGAAGTGTATTTGATTTGTTTGTAAATTATTGTTATCAGTATAGAAGTTTGTTATCGTACCGATCAGATATTGAATTGATATAGTGAGTGCA